CCCGCGAGGCCCGGGAGCCGCCGCCGCCGCCGCCGCCCGCGTGGATGTCCTCCTTGGGGACCGCCTTCTTCACCTCCACGCGGTGGCCCTGGATCGGGTGGAACTTGACCACCGCGGCCTTGTCCGCCGCGTCGTGGCTCTGGAAGTACACGAAGCCGAAGCCGCGCTTCTTGCCCGACTGCTTGTCGGCGATGATCTCGGCCTTCTCCACCGCGCCGAACTGCGAGAAGTGCTCGATCAGGTCGCCCTCCGCCACGTCCCCCTTGAGGCCCCCCACGAAGAGCTTCTTCACCTTGGCGTGGGCGCCGGGCCGCGCCGAGTCCTCCCGGGACACCGCGCGCTTCAGCTCCACCGTGTTGCCGTCCACGGCGTGCGGCGAGGCGGCCATGGCGGCGTCCGCCTCCTCCACGTTGGAGTAGGTCACGAAGCCGAAGCAGCGCGAGCGCTTGGTCTGGGGGTTCACCACCACCACGCAGTCCGTCAGGGTCCCGAAGGCCTCGAAGTGGCCGCGCAGGCCCGACTCGCTCGTCTGCACGTTGAGCCCGCCGATGAACAGCTTGCACAGCTGCGAATTCTCCATCTCCACGGCCCGGGCCTTGCCCCCGCCCTGCGCGCCCCGCGGCTTCGCCGTCGCCGCCGCCTTCCGCCGAGGCCTCCGCACAGCTCGGGCCCAGCCCCCGCTGGAGCCGCCACCGCCGGCCACCGGCGGGGAAGGGGCAGGGAAGGGAGGGGAGGAAGGAGAGGAAGGGGGAGGGAGGGGAGAGGTGCCGGCCAGAGGGCGCGCCGAGGAGACCGAGAGACAACCGAGGCCGCCGCTCCCGCCACCTCCGCTCCCCGACCTGGGCACCACACAAAGAGGCCGCTGAACGCGCGCGCACCCTCCCCGAGGCGTGCGTCACCAGCGACGCACGACAGCCAGGGCTGCCCGCCAATCCCCGCCTCGCTCCCGCTAGTCCCGCCCACCGCGCCGCAGCGCCGCTCTCGAGCTCGGTCTCCCCGCCCTCCGCGGTCTATTCAAGCCCTCGGCCTACTCAACTGCCGCCGCCTGTGCAGCCGCCCCGCTTTCACTCCCGAGAGCCTCAGTGTCGCTCGACAAGGAACCTTCCTGGCCCTCCGCGCACCTCCGCCATTTATTTCCTTCCAGCCCCGCGGCTGTTCTCAGTGACACTCCCCCTCCCCAGTTCGCTTCCCCTGGCCCAACTCCGCAGTGGCGTTCGCGCCAGCCCCTTGAGAGACGTGTAGGCTCAGCCAATCACCGCGATCTCTCGCACCCACTTCCGTTTTCAGCGGCTGCTGGACGGGCGCGCTCCCCGGTGCGCTCAGTTCCGAGCGCCGGTGTGTGCGGAGCCTGTCTGTTGCCCTCGCGCCTGCACACGCCCCACCCCTCAGCGCCCGGCGGAGGAAACGGGGAGGCGGGGGCCGTTCCCAACGGATGTGGCCTAGGGCGCCACGCGCGGGCTTTTTGAAAACTTGGCTGTTGGGGCCGGGGGCTTGGATCCGCCCGCTACCCCTGGCGCCTCGGCCACTCGGGTTCACACAAAGGTGGAGAGCAGAGACCTGGCCCAGGGAAACAGTTACTAACCATTCACAGTGGGCCCGACGTGTGTGTAAACTAGAATTTTAACAAGTCCTCAGCGGAGGACGAGCCCTAGCCAGTGAAACACAACAGGGCGTCAAAACCACTTAAGACGTTATAGCCCAGACAGCCAGAGACCCTGCCACCCTCCCGCCATCCACGAAGCCTTTCTGCAGTGCCTCTCAGTTCCCCTTTACAATTTTCAGCAGACACTTAAATGAACTTTTTACATGCTGAATTTGCACCATATATGCGTGGCTTCCTTTCAACCAAAATGCTACATCAGCTCCATGAGCTTGAGGGACTTAACAAACATTATATTTAAACATGAACTCCTGACTACTGTTAAGTATCCTCATATAGGTTGGACTACAAAACAAATAACGGGGGGCTGGGGATTTAGCTCAGCGGCAAAGCGCCTGCCTGGCAAGTGCAAGGTCGTGAGTTCGGTTTCCGGTACCAGAGAAAAACCAAAAAAAAAACAAAAAAAAAAAAACAAATAACGGCTTCCGTTACCAGCTAGCGTGGGTTCTTGCTTTAGTGATAATAGAAATTAAAACTAAATTATGATTTTTTATGAAAAAGTTTTAATTGAAAGATAAACCATAAAGAAAGGACTCCAACGTGGGTAGTAGCTGGGGGGTCACACTGATGACAAGGATCAGAATGACCCATCAGTGGGGCCAAGTTTTACGGGGTGCTTATAGTGGTTTAGGTCCAGTAGCTCATTACCTCAGTCCTAATTTCATAGCTCAGGTTGAATCCTCATGACTTGACGGGTAATTCAGTCTTCATGGGAGGAATTTTATGACTTCAGAGACAACTCCAGTTGTGTGAAGCTCTGATGGAATCCAAAGCGACCATAGACATCTTTAGGCAAAGGTAATTTCTGGGTATAGATGTTTTTGTTTTTCAAGGGTAATGAGATTGGCTGGGTAGATTTAGGGATGATAGATACTCCCTAAGTAACATGTCTTATATGCAGAGAGGAGAAAGATTTGACCCACATTATATTTCTTCCAGATTTTGCTCAAACCACCTACAGATATCTTACCTGGTCTTTCACTCAAAGTTCAGTGTAATATTCAACCTCTTTCTCAAATTGTTGTTGAACACTTCAGGATATAAATGTCTCTTCTTCAGTACTTACCACATGATTATAGAGGCTGTTGATCACGTAATGCCTCACATATTTCCCACCTCTTGTGTTTTGATTGACACACAAGAGTTCAACAAATGATCAAAGAGTCACAGAAGAAATCAGAGAAAAAATTAGGTAGTTCCTAGAATCAAATGTTAGTGCTAGTACAACATACCAGAACATATGGGGCATAATCAAAGCAGCCTTAAGAGGAAAGTTTATGGTTCAGAAAAAGGGTGACCCAAATAAATAAGGTAATGATGTACCTCAACATCCTAGAAAAGGGAAGACAATCCAAATAGAAAGGTTGTACAAGGAAGGAAAGTATTAAGATCAGAGATGAAACTGAGACTTTAAAAACAGTGAGCTAAATCAATGAATCAAACAGCTGGTTTTTGAAAGAATAAACGAAAGAGACAACTCATAGCCAGTCTTACAAAAAGAAGGAGGAGGAGGAGGATGAGAAAGAGAAGCAGAAGAAGAAGTAGAAGAGAAGAAGAAGAAGAGAAGAAGAAGAAGAACAACAACAACAACATCAACAAGAAAAAGAACAAGAACAAGAAGAGGAAGAAAAAGAAAAAAAAAAGAACCCATATCATGAAATTAGAAATGAAAAGGTTAAATCATAATAGACAGTGCCAAAACCCAGATGACTACTAGTAATTAATTTAAAAACCTGTACTCCGATACATTTGACAATCCAGAATAAATGGGTAGAATCCTGCTGTTATGGTATGTGTTTAGATGTCCCCCAAAAGGCTCACGCAGTCATAGAGTTTTTTTTGGAGGTAGCTGAACCTAGAGTGTGATTGATTCACAGTGCAATGCTGGGATTAAGGGTGGGTGACTGCTGGATCAGTCCACTGATTGGATTGGCACTGCCCTAATCTTTGTTGACTAGATACAATATAATGGACAGAAAGAGGGTTGTCTCTCACTCTCTTGTTGCTTTTGCTGTCTCCTACCTGCCATGAATTGTTCTCCTCTGTGAAGCCACCCTGTCTTGGAGCCAGCCAATAATGGACTGAAACATCTACAAACTGTGAGCTAAATAAACCTTTCCTCCTTTAACTTTGGGTGTTGGGTAGTTTGTCTCAGCAATGAGAAAAGTAACTAAAACACCTGGATATATATGAATTACCAAAACTGAACCAAGAAGACATAAAACACTGAGTAATCCAGTAACAGGCAATGAAATTGAGGCAATAAAGAAAAGCTCTGAGAAAAGCCCAGGACCTGATAGACTCACCACTGAATTCTACAAGAGCTTTAAGGAAGATATAATGCCAATACACATCAAACTCTAATGAAGTTTAAAGAAAAGGAGTTCTTGCAAAGTCATTCCTGATTCAGAATTTCCCCGATTCAAAAACCAGACAAGAACCCAACTAAAAAGAAAATTACATGCCAATCTCTTTAACAAACATAGACACAAAAATCCTCAATAAGATTCTGGCAAACGGAATACAATAAATCATCAAAAGGATAATACATCATGACCAAATAGGTTTCATTGTAAGAATGCAAACATGTTTTAACATATGTAGGTACTCGGTGGTCTCTCAGTGGTCCCCAAGAGAAAATGGCAAGGATTTAGAAAATAAAGACAAGAAACAAAAGCTGGGGTCACGTGGAGTGGTCTTTTTACCGATGAGCTAGAGGACTAAACCACAATAGTAGGGGTGTTTATTTATACTCTTGCAAAGTTAGTATTATGATGAACAGAGAAGCCAATCATGCCTTCCATGGACTTTTGACCTATAGGAACTGTGGTTTTTTTTTTTTTTTTGGTTTTTCTCCGGTACTGGGGACTGAACTCACGACCTTGTGCTTGCCAGGCAGGCGCTTTGCCGCTGAGCTAAATCCCCAGCCTCTTGGCAGGATGCTTTTTTTAAGACTGAGGTAACTTGACTGCCTTAATCACTTTGGCTCTATCCTGCCCTCACACATGTGACCAATTTCCAGCTTCAGCCACTCCTAACAAACATACACATATCAATAAATACAATGCATCACTAAGCAGAACTACAGAAACAAAATCATATAACCACCTCAATAAATGTAGAAATAACCTTTGACAAAAACCAACACCTACCATGATAAAAACTCTGAAGAAAATAGAAAGACCTTATTTCAATCTGATAAAAGTTATTTATGACAAGCTTACTGCCAATATCATATTAAATGTGGGGAAAGCTCAAAGTAATACAAAAATAAATTTAAATATATATATAGAGAGATATAGATATATACTGTTGGGAATACTGGTTATCCACGTGCAGAAGTTTGAATCTAAACCCATATCCCTCACCATGTACTAAACTAAAATCAAACTTGATCAAAGATCTAAATTTTGAGCCAAAAAGAATCCTTGGAAGACAAAATAAGTAAAACTCTT